GCCTGGTCAGAAATGAAGGTCCTGGTAGCTGTTGCGGATCCAGTCGCCGTCGGATTCGTGGAAGCCGCCCTTATCCGTCATTATCAGGGCAGTCCGGGTAATATGAACATTAGAAGGGGAGGAGAAGGGGTTGACCTTGCAGGTGCTGGGCCCTTTTTTGCATATGTGGTTTACCGTTGCCTTGTCCCACCGAAGTGTGCTTCGGCCAGAAGGACATAGCTGTGCTTCTTGATGTTGTCATTGATGATGGAAACTAGTGTATTTTACCAGGTGTCGGTGTGACTTAAACACCTTTCTCATTTCGAGCCGTGGAGAAACTTCTTTGGTGGGTGAATTGTTAGCAACGGTTTCACCTACAACGACTGGTGTGTGCTTGCTCACACCGGCTTCGGGGCCTGCTGAAGTGTTTTGTAAGTTATAGACTATGTAAGGCTATGTGATTCCTTAAGCGCACTGATCGGTACTCCCTGCTTCCAGTTGGCTGCATACGTTCATCTGCAGGAGGCCCCGGTAATTCTTTTGCCCTGGGTGCTACTTAGTGCCTACTGGGTCTTCTGAGTGAAGCATGGATGATCCTTGTGCCGAATCAAGCATGAGACAAGCCCAGTGAGCCAGAGTGTCAGCTAGTGATGAATGGATCCACACACGTGCAGCTGCTCGGTGCCTCATATATTGCATGGGATCCTCAAGGATTTTGTATGGTGTGTGCTTACTGTAGCTGCTGTAGCACGTGGCCTTTCGAGTCATGTCGGAGGCCCCGCCTCAGACGAGGCACCTTGTGTCCAGGGCATTCAGCACAGCCACCTTGCAGGAAGGGCTTTCCTTGGTGGACCAGCAGCAGGTCAAGGAGGAGCAGATTGATGCTGATATCAAGGTGGGCACATTGATGGGGTTCTCTTCAGTTCCTTCGGTACCTTAAAAGTCGCTGCTGAGTCTCCTGTATCTCAGACTGTCGCCGTACAGGGTTCATGTTGTGGGATTAATGGGGCTTTTTAGGGTGTTTTGATTCGGCTTGGTACTCATGTACGGGATTGCTTAAAGCCAGTTGCTTGTTGAGCTAGAGTTTTAAACGAATGAACAAACAAATGAATAAGTAATTAATACCCATGTATATATATATATATACACATACGTATGTATTTAAATTTCTACATATGTGTACATCCCCTCTCTAAAGCCCAACGTAAACCTTTAGCAAGCCCTGGCCCCCTAAACACCCAGATTGGCTACCTACTGTCTATTCTAAAACTTACATATTACTTTGTGTGGAAAGTACCCAAAATTACACGTTCTTATAATTGTCGGTGTGTATATATATATATATGTATATACATACAGACAGCACAGTCCAAAGGACTCCAAGGCAAAACCCTGGCTTTTAGTGTTGATGGTTTTGGCATGTACAGGGTGCACATAGGGTCTGGTGTGGGGCCTCGAGGAATTGTACGGTGTCCCTGCCAAAAACCTTCCGTGGCTCCAATGCGATAAACCCAGAGAACCTATAAATGTTTTAGACACCCCAAGAAATTTCCGGAGGACCCAGATAACCTAAATGCTTTAGACGCACCAAGAAATTCCGGAGCACAAGCACAACCCAGTTGTTGCAGTGTAATTAACTGTTGTAGGGGTTTTGGTCTAGGGGTTGGTATAGGGTCTGGTCTATAGGGCCTAGGGTTTACAGGTGTGGGTTCCCTGCTATAAATTTGAAGTAGTCCTACCCGACAAACCCGGTCCCTAACTTGTCGACCCAAGACCCAATGCACCCTATGAAGTCCATAGCGACTGGCAGGCCATCGAGGCTGAAATCCAGCGCGAGGAGCAGAATGCAAAGCGCGGCACGAGGTGCACCCCGGTGGCTGGGGCCACACCCTCACCTCAGGCGATGCTGAAGAAACACAGGATAGAGGTGCCCGAGGACTCGGAGTGTGTGCTGTTGGGAAATGACGAAGTGCTGTTCACAGCACTCAAGGATCAGCTCGGCAGCCCCTCCCCAGGCCCAGCTTCAGAAGTGATCATGGAGCCTGTGCTAGAGGATGGGTATGACATGGTTGTCTCGCCTACAAAGCCGAAACACCTGTTCCTTAGTCCATACAAGCCTGAGACTCCGACTCCATCGAAGACTCCCTCGAAGACTCCCTCGAAGACTCCCTCGAAGACTCCCTATGATCCTGTGGCATGTGCCGAAACCCAGCCGGGCAAGACCCCCCAGCGGAACATCAGCTTCATGGACACCCTGGTGATGGAAACCCAAGACTCTCCCGCCCCGACCGTGATGGACCCCTATGAGAACCACGAGGCAACCCCTATGAACTTATAACCCTAGCTGTTGCATATGGGTAACTAAATGCCGAGTCGCTACAGTATGTCATCTCGATCCATGATCCCAGGTTGCATCGCCTCCGGTTGCAATGGACCGTCAAGCTGCAGATGTTGCAGACCCCAAGGGCTCGGGTTCCGGGAGTACAAAGTCGGATGGGGTAGCAGCACTCGAGTTGCAGTTCCAGGCCCTTGGGTTGAGTGTGGACTCGGAGGAGGCTGCAGTGGTGGCCACTGCAGCCAACATGGCACAGGGCAGTGGCAGCACGGGTGGTTCGAGCGAGGACCCCAAGGATGAGGAGATTGCTAAGCTAAAGCAAATGATCTTCATGATGAATGCCAAGCTTTGTGCCGATAATGATCCCCAGGCTCAGTTTGCGCGTGAAGCTGAACGGGAAGCTGCGCGCGAAGCTGCACGTGAAGCTGCACGGGAAGCTACACGTGAAGTTATGCAGGCTGCTGCCAAGGTACCGGTTCAGGACGCGCCGGCGGCTGCAGATGAGCAGGTTGGCCTTGCGGCGGCGAGGCAGAGGCTCAGGCGAATGTGTGCCCCTCGGGCCAATGGCTCTCTTGGTGTACCTAAAGAGGTACATGAAAAGTATGTGGCCGGCGGGTCTGAACGAGATGGGCTTCTCAAATTGCTTATGAAGAGCAACTTCAACAAGGATCCTGACGATCATGCTAGGTGTTATGCCTGCTTATGTGTGATTCATATGGTCCTTATGTCTTAGAGTGCTGCACAGGCTGCATACATGAAAAACCTAATTAACCCTAAACCCTGAACCCCTAAACCCTAAACCCTAGAAACCCTAAACCCTATAAACCCTAAACCCTATAAACCCTAAACCCTATAAACCCTAAACCCTATATAAACCCTAAACCTGTACAGGAGAGCTTCATCAAAGAGGTGATCGTGCTGAGCGAGAAGGAGAAGGCCGTGTCCCTCGAGGTCACCGGGGATTATTTTTCCGAGCAAGAGCTCAGGGACATGAAAGTTCCTGAGCCACTTGTCGTTCAATTTGCAATCATTAAGTTCGTGGAATTGAATTGAACTGTGTGGCTGTTGCTTTCTTTCTTTCTATCGAAAGACCTGAATCTGCTCCGAAATCCAGGGAACGCATCCGTGAAGTGATCAGCTTCGGCGATGCCAACCCCAGCAGCTTTCGTCGTGTTCCAAAGCTGCATGAATACTGTAGCATGCAGTGATGCTGTGGGTGCTTTGGAATCCTATCCAACAAGTATCGTTCCTAACTTCATCCGAGGCCGACACCTACAACAAGAAAAAGCCCTTCAAGTATTGGTACGAAACCCGAGTCACTGCAAGCATGAAACAAAGCCGCCTCTTGAGAGAGCAGGAGCACGTCTCCTACAACCAAGAGGTCGAAGCCGATGAGGATGGAGTTGTCCTGGGCAACAATGTTGCTTTCGATCTTTCGGGCTTCGATGGCACACTTGGTGACGGTACGCTTGTGGGGGGATGCTTAGCAATGCAGGCAGTGTCAGGGTCGCATCAGCATGTTAATTCTGTCCCTGCCTGGGCCTATATTTCTACACGTCCTAAGGACATGCAGGGAGTTCCGAGGATGATCTTGGGTTGCCTTCGCTTGAAGGCAAGCGCCCTCAGGATGTTGCGGAAACGTACAGGAAGGCTCTCCAGGCCCGGTCCACCAAGATGTCCGAGATCTTGGGCCGTTTGGAAACCATCCCGAAAACGACTCGCTCTTCCAATGTGACATCGTGCACTGCCTTTAATGTTTGCAGCATAGTGGGTGTTTGTTTGGGAAAAGACTCGTCTATCGGCCCCCCGAGTAAACCCGAACCCCTAGCTAAACACCAAGCTGCAGAAGCGCCGATTCCGCCAGGAAGACCCAAAGCCTTCATGTACATTCCAGTTGTTTGCTAAATTATAAGTTAATTGGTCCCAAAGTCTGAGCAAACTAATTCAACTCATACCCGATAACCCAAACCCATTCAGATGTGCCGATTTCTAAACGCGAAGACTCAAAGCCTCTGCACTGTGTGTTGACCCCGAACCGTGACCCCCTATAGTTGAAAGCCATAATGTAGGAACCTGACTAAGAAACCCTGGGTCTTTATTAAGGGTTCTTAATATGAATCCTACTGGTTTGGGGTTATAGGGCCAGGGTTTCTTAATCAGGGTCTTACATTATCAGTCATATCAGAAAAAACCTGAGCCACTTTCGATAAACACCACACCCCGGATTGGCTAGGCCTATGTGTATGCATTTGGGTGACTCCAACACGAGGGTGCATAGCCTGTATACCGTGTGTCCTTCTGTTCCGATGTTTCATGCCCTTCATGTGTACAGATGTATAAATTGATTAGCAAACCGCTAGAATCGTAAAGTATGCATGTCATATATGGGAGTTTCCGACAATAGGGGGGGAGCTTCTTTTGGGGCCCTAAAGCTTATACTAAGGATCCGACTAGGTAGGGTACTATATTAGGGTCCCCTATTTTCGGAAACCCCCCATATAGTTACTGAGCACCCCAATCTACCCTGGAAGCCCGACCTGAACTGCTCCATCAACACGTATGTTATCTGCTGGCCCACCTTATTTTGGAGCCGAGGCTGATTGACAAGATGACGGCTTCCATCAAAACCTTTGATGATTGCCACGACAAGATCGACGAGACCTACTGCGAGGGTCGGGTGGAAGGATTCACAGCGGAAATGTTGCTAGGCAAAGATTGGTACATCGAGAGAAAGCTAAACTCATATTTGCAGCATGTTCACACAGGCCTCTGGCGCTGAGGCTTTGGGCTCTTAGATTGATCGTAGTATATGTGAAAAATATGCATGCACATGTGCACACACACACACACGCAAGTGAGAACACACACGCAGAAACACACACACACACACACACGTAAACACTGAGGCAGGAGACCCTGAAGGGGCTGTTCAAGAAGGCCAAGCGTGCGCAACGTGGCTCGAACACTACTTTGCTTCGTGTCGTTTCTGTGCTGAACACCGTCCTAGCTGACTCTACTTCATTACTTTGCCATGTGTAGTTTCCAAGAATATTGCTGTGCTGTCCTAGCTGCCTCTACTTCACTACTTTGCTATGTATAGTTTCGAAGAATATTGCTGTGCTGTCCTAACTGCCTCTACTTCACTACTTTGCTATGTGTAGTTTCAAAGAATATTGCTATGCTGTCTTAGCTGCCTCTACTTCACTCTACATGCTCATACATCCGAGGGCTCTGGAGAGTGTGAGTCTTGAGCAGCGGGCAAAGCCAGTGGCACCGAAGCGCAAAGCGAACCCGGATGCAAAGCCGAAGATGCCGGCGAAGGCAGATGCAAAAGCAAAAGCCGACCCGAAGGCTGCTCCGAAACGTAAGACCGGCAAGCAGTCCGAGTAGAGCAGCTGTTGCCGAGTCAGAGTAGAGCAGCTGTTGCCGAGCTTGAGACGGGAGAGCAGGCAGCTTAGGAAGGACCGTGGGCGGTCTTTCACGCTGTGTAGTGTCAACCTGTCCGATGCCGGAATGATGGAAAAGGATGTGCAATGATGCTGGGACATGCAGGCGTTTGCTGCGATTAGCATGGCAATTGGCAAGGAGGAACGATGAAAATCTATGTAGGCATTAGCATGCCCCTGCGCAGGACCGACACCGGGGCCAGCGGCCCGCAAGCTCGTGAAATCTCTGGCGATGGGAGCAGCTTGTCCAAAAGATTTGTGTGCAGTTATCGAGAAGGCCCCATTATGTGAAAACCGCCGCAAGATAAGGATACTGCAGCCAGTGTGGTGAGTTTTGCCAAAGCTCTAGAAGAAGAGCAGCCGCTACTCTTGAGAGGGATCCGGCAACTTTCTGTTCTTTCCCTGCCACATGCTGAGTCTGGACTACACCGAGTCATTAGAGACTGGGGCATGGCGCTTCCCATCGATGTATACCTTTTCAGTAAGGGTATTCTGTTTGCTCCAATGTGCCTGCCTTCCAAAATCCTGGAGTTCTACCTTTGGAAAAAGCCTGGGATTTTATTCGGGGGCTTTGGCCGAAACCATTTCGCTTTGGATGGCTTCCTACAAAGCTTTTGGCAATGCTACAGGTACGAGGATGACGATCATCAGGTATTCCAAGTTCATGGTAATCGGCTCAACCGATGCTTCCCCATTTGTATCTATGGTGACGAAGGACGTGGATTGCGGAAAGCTCCCATACAGGTCGTGGCCCTTGAGACATTATGGGGTATAAAGACGTTTTCTGCTTGTGAGGAACTTGCGAAAACTCGTGGCTGGAACAGCGAAACTTTCTTGGAAGCCTCAGACCACACTGGACGCGGGTCGTCGCTAACTTCTCGGCTTTTGCTATATGTTCTGCCTCATGGAGCCTACAAAAAAAAGCAGAAACATTTTTGGTACGATACATTCGGTGCTCCTGTGAAAGATTTGGCGAGGCTGTTCCATGAAGGAATCACAGATCCGAATGGGGAGACCTGGTTCCCCATTCTGATAGGTGTAAAGGGAGATGCACCTGCACTCAACAAGATGGGCAATTTCACCCGAAGCTTTTTGCGAACCATTGGACAGAAAGGAATTTGCCACCTGTGCTTGGCCGGCAAGGCTGGCCAGCACATGTGGGAGGACATGCGAAGTTCCGCAAGCTGGCATGGAACTATTTGCCAAGAACGGCCATGGACAGATCGAAAGCCATCGTGTGTACTTCCCATACCTTTTAGCTTGCAGGCACCCGAAAAGGTATTCAGGTCGGACTGCATGCACTTGGTGAAGCTGGGGGTTGCCCGGCATTTCATCGCTTCATGTGTGGTGGCACTGGGCGACTGGAATATTTTTCCTGGCAGTGCTGACAGCATGGCTGCACTTCTGGAGCTCTCCCACGACGACTTTGTATGGTGCTGCAAACATGAAATCAAACAGACGCCGCATCTGAAGCTGTTTTCGAAAGAAGGTTTCCACTGGCCTCGCCGGACGAGCTTCCCTTATGGCGGAACCTTGCAATGTTTGGTATTGTCATCGTGATTGAAATTCTTTTTGTTTTCTTATACGCACATAATTTAAACACCTATTGCTGCTCACTGTGCTTTCTTGTTGAACGAAGGCTGGAAGGCCGCCGATTCTTTGATGTTGGCACGGTGGCTGCTGCGAGTGTTGCGACAAGGGCCTGTGAAGCCGGACGGGACTGGGCGTTCAGGGGTCACGTTTTTGAGTGACCCAGAGCGGGGGCATATCTTCAGAGCAATGGAAGATGCATGCTGCAGCCTTCTACGTTTCTTCCAGATTATCCACCAGCAGGGGTTGTGGCTGAACAGAAGCCTGGGGCAATCAGCTGCTGATTCGGTTCAGCTGTTTTGTCAGAGTTACACTTTCCTGGCGCGAGGGTTTAACGAGCTCGGCAAATTTCTGTTCCACTTGGAACCTGCTCTTCATATGTACCGCCATGTGGGGCTTCGAATTACGACGATCCTTCGAACCGGAGCACCCGCCGTAATTTCCCCTGCAGCTTATGTGACGGATCTATCGGAGGACTTTGTTGGCATCTGCTCTAGGATTTCCCGGCGGGTGGCCTCACGAACGTGCGGCCACCGCACGCTTCAACGAATGCTAATCCGCTATCATTTGGAGTTCGAGAAGCTGGGCGTGTAGTGGTAAGAATACACATACATACATACATACATACATACATACATACATACATACATACATACATACATACATACATACATACACACACACAAGCATGCATGTCTTAAAGCGAGATTCTTGTGTCTACAAGTCCCGGCACTCCGAGCATCTGGTAGCAGCAGTGGTAGCAGAGCAGCCGGCCGCCATCATCAGCAGGCTTTACACAGCGCATGTGTATGATCACTATATATATATATACATATATAGTTTTATGCATACACAAACTTGCATGTGCAAACCCTATGAGTACAGAAGCCCGCTGAAGACTGCAGCATGTGCCTGAGTGATGGTGTGCGTCGAACGAGCCGCTGCAAAGACGGCTGGGGGAGAGATCTGGGGCTTCTTGGGATTTTTCGGGTTCCACTCTTCGGATTCGATGAAGATAGGGTTGCACAGGATTTCGGAATCAAGGTTAGGGGTCGAAGTTTTGCAAGGGTTCTGGATTCAAGCTTAGTTTCAAACACCCCAGCAGCCCGAATCGTATTCTCGAGTTGTAAACAGGTCCGAATTGCATTCTAAGTCCCAACCTTGACAGTACAGGCCTGAATTCGTAAAGTAAGCTATCTTGGTCATCAGAAAAGGGTACTAGTCTAAATCGTGGTGCGGGAATCGGTACACCCAAATAAAAGGGGTCACGCAGAGGACCAGGTAAATCCTAAACCCAGAGCCCTAAACCCTAAACCCTAAACCCTAAACCCTAAATCCTAAACCCTAAAATCCTAACTCTTTGCACTTAGGAGTTCCGGCTTGGTGGGAATGTGAGGAACCTGCACAGTTTCTTCAATGCTGCTGATCGTATAAACCCTGCATAACCTTAAGGGGTTTAGGGTTTAGGGTTGAGGGTTTAGGGTTTACGGCTTAGGGTTTAGGGTTGAGGGTTTAGGGTTTAGGGTTGAGGGAGGGTTTAGGGTTTACGGCTTAGGGTTTTTGGTCTAGCTTAACCCTGGACCCTATTTAGCTTAACCCTAGACCCTAAGCCCCCGAAGCCCAAACGCTTAACCCTATACCCCGAAACTCAGAACCCCTCACACACAACCCTTTGCCGCACGAATGCCTCGGCCGAAAGCCAAGCTCGTTCAGGGCGTCCTGAAGGTCTGCCTCTTCAGCGGTGTGCGTTTAGAGCAATGAATAAGGGGTTTTCTGGTAAAACGGAAGACCTCAGGGTTTCATGATTAGGGTTTAGGGTTTAGGGTTTAGGGGTTTAGGGGTTTAGGGGTTTAGGGTTCTATGAGGATTTATAAGAACTAATGTCCGGGTCTTTGGGAGGGCTTTGTCGAGCCGGGGCTTCGGTCCAGAGTCGCGCGAGTGAGGGTCTCAAGCCGTGCAGGTTCTAGACTCTGCTTGGTCTTTAGGGGTTTAGGGCTTAGGGTGTACGGTTTAGGGTTTAGGGTGTAGGGTTTAGGGTTGAGGGGTTTAGGGGCTTAGGGGTTTAGGGTTTAGATCCGACCTCAACTCCAATATTAATCCTCATGGGACCAGTTAGGGTTCAGGGTTAGCCCATTCCAATACAAAATCAAACCGGGCCACAAACATCGCCTTCTGTTCCTCCGCAGAGGGGAATAATCTACCCCCAAAGCTGTATTCTAGCTATGACGGCCCCTATATTAAACCCTTTATGGGGACCCTTACAGACCTTTTAAAAACCCTAAAGCCTAGACCCAGAACCCTAAGCCCTCAACACCAAGCCCGACCCAACCCTCGGCGTTGAATCTTCACACGGCGAGTCTCATACCCGCTTTCCCCAGCCGCCCTTACAACTTTGGGTATCATGCCCCAAACCCTAAACCCTACTATCCAAAGGTATCGTTACTGGGCTACGGCTGGGCGACCTAACCCAGCATGGCATTACGGCACATCGTCGCATCAACGACGCTGTGAGTAGATTGGCAGCGCAAGTACCCTCTACAACACTCTGGCAGGTTTAAAGAAACCCTACGACTATTGCTATCAGTCTCCTATCAAGAGAAGGCGTCAATGCCCCTTCATATCTACATTAGACTGGCAGTGCTAGTGCCAGACTCCCGACAGCCTAAACCCTAAACCCTAGACCCTAAACCCTAAACCCTAAACCCTAAACCCTAAACCTTAGTCGCCACCCTGTACCCAAAATCTCCCGAGACCCTTCGCCCCATAAAGCCGAAGAACCGAAACAGAGCCAGTCACCGGAGTTGAACTTTTAGGGTTTAGGGTTTAGAATTTAGGGTTTAGGGTTTAGGGTTTAGGATTTAGGGTTTAGGGTTTAGGGTTTAGGGCTTAGGGTTGAGGGTGTAGGGGTTTAGGGTTTAGGGTTTAGGGGTTAGGGTTTAGCGGTTTAGGGTTTAGGGTTTAGGGGTTTAAGGGTTTAGGGGTTTAGGGGTTTAGGGGCTTAGGGTTTAGGGTGCTGGCAAGCTCTTGCAACTGGAACACTGCAATTCCGATCTCCAACTACTATGAGCCCCAGACCCTGAAGCACAAATAACCTAGAACAGCCCCAATAATTGGGAACTACAAGCCGTGAGGAAGCTCTGAATAGGAGCCCTCGCCCCAAAACCCCCAATCCTCCAAAATTCTACCCTCCTTCAACTGTCACAACAGTCCGAAGCCCACCAAGGTTAGGGTTTAGGGTTTAGGGTCAGAAAAGCCCACTAAACCCTAAACCCTAAACCCTCAACCCTCAACCCTAAACCCTAAACCCTAAAGCAAAGGGAGGAGACCTGGTCGATGCGTCGATCTGCCCTCCGACCGAAACGGCGGAGTGCAGCCTCCGCAGACTGAACGCTAGAGTCTGGAATATGGGTGCCAGGCATTTAGGGTTTAGGCTTTAGGGTTTAGGGTTTAGGGTTTGGGAATATGGGTAGTTCTCTAAACTAGGTCCCCCATAGTACGGCACCCTTAAAAAAGGATCCTCCAAGGGACCCTGAACTACCCATATGGTGGCCTGAATAATTGGCATAAGGCTCGGGGTATACTCAACCAAGTCATGGTTATCAACAATGCTCAAGCTTCCCAGGTGCAGCTGCTATTCAACTATACGGTTTGCAGAGTTGCTGTCGGATCCCGAAACCGGGACTTGTAGGCTTTAGGGTGTAGGATGTAGGGTGTTTGGGTTTAGGGTTCAGCACACTATACTTAGTTGCTGAGTTCATAAGCCCCAAAAACTGTACACGTTCAGATTTATACTGGGTAATATTATCCCCAAAAGTGGAAAGTGTATCCACTCCGCTACTAAGTATAGGACCGGGGACGGAGGTTCTGCAAAACTTTGGCTGCGAAGTACCTGCCTCCCCAGAACTTCGGGCTCTTAGGCTCCAGGGCCTACCAGGTTCAGGTCTGTGGCTTGGGTTTTGGTGCAAAGTCCCGATACGACATCGAACTAGGGTTTAGGGTTCAGAACACCCCGCCCCAACCATAAGTGAACTAGTCTAAATCCCGGAGTCCTGAATCCTAAACCCTAAGCCTTAAACCCTAAACCCTAAAACCTAAACCCTAAACCCTAAACTCCGATAATCCTGTAAGACCATGTAAAGGTTTAGGGTTTAGGGTTTAGGGTTTAGGAAGTATTGTAGGCATTCAAACACTATGGGCTTTGGGATTGAGGGCTTCTACTGCTTTGGGTGGGTAACCCTAAACCCTAAACCCTAAACCCTGAAGCTCGAACCCTGAACCCTAGACCCTGAACCCTAAATCCGAAACCCTCAACCTTTTGGGGCGATGAGATTCAGGGGAACTTCCCTCGTCCGGGTCGCCTGGTATGCTTGGACCTCCTTGGCACGCACGTTGGCAAGGTAGTCGGCCACAGAGGCACTTGCCTCCATGTGAGCAGCTATCAATATTTAACCTGCCAAAATCAACTTTTTTGCAGGGTCCCTATCAAACCCATACAAGGGCTGGGAATCAGAACCTATATGGGGGTTACCGAAAATTAGGGTACCTTATTTTGGGGTCCTTATAACAAGGATCCTATTATTTAGGGTACTATATTAGGGTCCCCCAATTTCGGAAACTCCCATATAAAGCAGGTTGTGGTAGTCTAAGGTACTGCTAATTATGACAGAAGCCCGAAGGAACTTTGGGTGTGTCAAGGGCTTGATGAGGTTTCTGGAGTTCTTGCCGGGTTCTACAAGTGCGTCTGATGGTTTCTTTTGTGGGAGTTCCTGATAAGATGTGCCCCGGTATGAACAGGGTGCAATTGAGCGGCTTATATCACCTATGTCCGCACTCAGCGTAGGTCTGTTTGCCCCCATGTTGACTGCACCTTGCATGTAGGTCTCTGCAAAACCGGAATGGCCCTCACTATGCCACACTGCTACAGTAGGACTCGTGCTGCTGCTGTATATATGGTATGGTATGATGTTACATGGAATGGCAAGGCATAGCATGGCATGAATTACCTTGACATTACATGACACCACACAAACCGCTACACAACATGACACCATATGACATGGCATGTTGTGATATGACATGACGCGATAAGATGTGGTATAACATGTTGAAGTGACATGGTATGACATGGCATGAGATGATATGGCATGCTTGACATTATTCGCATGCTTTGCTTTGCACTGCCGTGCTATGCCATGCTATGCTGAGATATGATATGATCGGTTTGGATGTGGCCTGCTCTGAAATAATATGGCACATGATCTGGCGTGACCTTACATGGCATGACATGTTATGCTATGCTATGCCATGTTATGATGTGGTATGGGTATGCTATGCTATGCTATGCTGTGCTATGGTATGATAAGAGAATGAGATATAAGACAAGATGGGGCAATATAAGATAAGGTGTGATATAAGAACATATAGGATCTGCTATGATCTGTCATGCGGTGACATGTTCTTATGACATACCAGGTTAACATGTCACTCTATTTTAATATGCTCGAAACTGATATGATGTGAGACGACATCACGACATGGTTCGTCTCTGCTATAGTATGGCATGCTATGGCAAGGTACAACAATATGAGTAGACA